AGGAGCCAAAGAAACAGAAAGCATTCCTAAACAGTCTCATGGCAAACAAGCGGCAATGCCAAGCAGCTTCGGAGTGTGCAAAACCTCTCTGCTGAAGATATACGTGGGAAATATCCTTCAATTCCAAAGGAAAATGGCAAAAGTCCCCAGCCTGAGTGCGGATGAGGGTGATGGTTTGTTTTCATGAACTCCTACTCGCAATTAGTCAGCGAGCGGCACGACGGAGGTCAGAGCCTCTCGTCTGAGTGCAGGACCAGGCTTGGACAAGGCAGCAAGTGAACGCTTGCCTGGATGGCCTCAGCTCCTGAGCTGCAAGAGCTGGGCAACGGCTAAGAGCAGCGTGAGAAGAGACCTCAGCCATGCCAGTGAAGGCATTGCCTTTGGGCAACCATGGCAAGAAACCAGGACTGGCAGCCCAGCAGAACCTGTGCTTGAGGCCATCGCCAGTGAGCCACGCTCACCGAGCTGCGGCTTCTACAGCAGCCACCCCAGAGCCATCCTGTGCCAGGTGATGGCTCAGCACCAGCACCAAGCCTTCAGGACAAAGCAAAGGGTCCGTAAAGCAGCGGAGGGATGGAGAGGACTCACCCAGCTGGCAGGTTGGGCCGTGGAAGCCAGGGGCACAGATGCATGCCCCGGTGACCGGGTGGCACTCCTGGGTGGCTCCAGCACACTGGCAGATCTGGCCACAGCCCTCACCAAAGGTCCCCGGCAGGCAGGCTGTCAGGAGAGAGGGCACCAAACTCGGATCATGTAGCAGGAGGTATCCCACCCCTCTGTGCAAGGCTTTTCCCCCTTTTTATTTTAAGTCAGGATTTAGGAAGCTCTTTAGCCAGTGGGAGTCCTCTGCCAGTCAAAAAGCAAAGGGACCCACATGCAAATGGTCTCTTGACTCCAGGAAAGCCTTGGATTGAAAAGAAAACTGAGTACTTAAAGGCATTAGTTGCCTTTTGCGGTGCTAGCCTGACCGACCTTCATAATCCCACAACCTCCCATCCCCACACACACAGACATGGCAAATACACCCCCGTTCTCTGGGTAAGGAATGTGCTCACATGCCTCTGGCCCTTCCAGACTTGCTCATACCCACAGGAGCTCATTTTAATACTGATTTATTGCTAATCCTCTGGATAAACACACAGCTCTGATTTCCCACTTGGCTCCCTCTGCTTTGCTAACATTGTGCAGGCATGCACCCAGCTGCCAAGATGCAAGTTGCTCCTTGGCACCGCTCGCTCTTGGGGTATTTTTTTCCTTGTTTTTCCTTTTTTCCCCTCTATTTTCTGCAGCAGTTGCTTGACCCATCCCATCCCAGAGCCTGTCAGTGGAGCTGGAAAAGGCTCGCTCCCATCTTCCTACCCTTTTCACATGCAGAGCCTGTGAATCCTGGCGGGCAACCGCACCGGCCAGTGATGTGATCGCAGGGTGCTCCCCGGGGACAGGAGCAGCGGCTGGCACAGCCCTTCCCGAAGGAACCTGGCAGGCAGGCTGTGGGAAAACAAGCAAAGGGGATTCTGTTGTGGCTGCCCCATCCCTGGCAGTGTTCAAGGCCAGGCTGGGCACAGGGGCTTGGAGCAACCTGCTCTAGTGGAAGGGGTCCCTGCCCGGCGGGGTCGTGTGGCTGTGCCATGAAGGGATGCTGCCGCCTCACCTTTCTCACAGCGCCGGCCCCTCCAGCCGCGGGGACAATCGCAAGCACCAGTAACGTGATGACAGGCCACGTTGTCCCCACAGTCACAGTGCTCTTCACAGCGTGCCCCAAACAGCCCCTCTGGACAAGCTGCAGAGACGCAAACATGGGAGAGATGACAAGTTACACACAAAAGGTGATGTAGGTCTTTTTGCACTGCAGTTTCTGCAGGCACACACTTGATTTCTGTCCCTTTCACTCCTGCCAAGCCAGAGCGGCGCTGTGGCAAGACAAGTGACATCTACCACCAGCAAAGGCACTATTATTTTGCTATGCCACTGTACTATTATGGGAAGCACTGCGGCAGAGCCAACGGCTCTTCTTGCCTTTCGTTTGGTGGTGATGGGCTGCACCAGCCATCCTGCATGGGGGCTGCCATCCCTCTCCCACCCCATATGTGCCATGGGGTGGGAAATGGCTGCATAGGCCAGACCTGAGCACGTGCCCACTGTGCATGGGAACACGAGTGTCTCGGCAGCATCACCAGTCAAATCCACGCAGGGTACACGGGTGCGCAGTGTAATGCTTGTGGTCACAATTCATGGTGAAAGTCTCTGTTCAACTGTGCCACATAGTTTTGGAAGTGTTATTCCTGGCACTGTCCAACGGGAGCTGGGTGCCAGCACAGTGTGTTTGGATCATCGTTTAGTTTTGCTGCTGCTTTTCCTGCTGTAGAAGCAGCTGGTCTGTAACGCAGCAGCAGAACACTGCGTGTGCAGTACCGGCGCCGTGCAGAAGCGAGCACTGCAGGAGCAGAATCCATGAACCTCATTTTCACTTCTGCCTCATGAATGAATGCAGCAAACTCGGTAAGTCCCTGTGCAACCGTCCAAACAGGCTGCTCGGCCACGCAGGGGATGAGCCTGTACATGCAGCTGTGGCGGGAGGTGGCTGCTCCGTGCACACAGCCAGGCAGGTAGTGGCACATACACAGTTTGCAGTACAGCGCTGTGGGAAGCCAAGAGGGTGATTTGAGCGCTAAAAAACCCCAAACGTGTAATTTCTGCATTTGTGGGTGGGTTTTTAATTAATTTTTGTTGAAAGAAATACTAAAAGTGAACCTATGGGTGAGCTCAGTGTGAGCACCTATGGGCAGGGTGAGACAGGGAAGGTCCCCAGGGTGTGATGGCCAAACACAGGGACACTTGGGAGCCAAAACCTCCCAGTGCCCATCCTTCATAATGTCCAGCCCAGCAGCTTGATGCTGCCTCATGATGAGGGACCTCGGTGCTGGGGATTCTGGGTTTTGGGAGAGCGTGACATGACTCTGTGAAGGGACGATGCACCTGAGGATGTGGCTGCTCGCCCTTGGCTGGCAGCAGAACTATCTGCAACCTCTGGAAGCAGAGGCATGGCCAGGCAGGAACACTGAGAGCCCTTTGATGAGGCTAGTGCTGCAGTGGGCAGCTCCCTTATGCCACATTTAGCTGGCAAGTAACAGCATTGGACTAGGACATGCCTTTTACACCGTAATATAAGGAACATGCCAGGCTGAGATGTCATGACCCCTGAAAGGGAAGAAGCTTGTGGATTTCTTCTTGATGTGCTGATACTTGATGAAGTCCCTGTTGCTGCTCTTAGTAAGGCAAATAACCTTTTCAACACTTCCTCATAGTAGAGGGATTGCCAGGGTACGTGTTACATTTAAAGATAAGGTGAGCACAGGAGCCTGCCGAATGACAGATGTAATTATTTGCTGGGGCTTCAGCCAGAAGCCAGGGATTTAGGGTCTGTATAATCAGGGAAGTGTAGAAGAAAGACTGGAAAGCTGATCTTTTGTTACTCTTAAACTAAACAGGACAGAGGAAGCAGCTGCCCTGCCGTGTGCTCCTGCTTGGAGGCTGTGCCTCTGGGGACCCCATCCCTCTCCCCAGCACCATCGCAGGCTGCTGTGTGGCCTGTCTGTGCACCACGGCTTTAGAACAGCCCTCAAGAGAAAGCAGAAAGCACAAAGATGGGCAAAGCCAGGGCACGCAGCGGAATCACAGCACCCATGAGCCCTCTCTGCAGCGTTCTGCTCTGATGCAGAACAAATGCAGCACTGACGCAGCACCAAGACACTAACGCAGCACCAATGCAGCACCAGGCACTGATACATCTCGGATGCAGCACCAGGACACTGATACAGCTTGGATGCAGCGCCAGGACACTGATACAGCTCGGATGCAGCACCAGAACACTGATACAGGTCGGGTGCAGCACCAGAACACTGATACAGGTCAGGTGCAGCACCAGGGCACTGATACAGCTCGGATACAGCACCAGGCACTGATACATCTCGGATGCAGCACCACGAATCCAGCACCAGGCACTGATACATCTCGGATGCAGCACCAGGGCACTGATACAGCTCGGGTGCAGCACCAGGCACTGACACAGCTCGGGTGCAGCACTGCTGCATCACGCCGTGCCCACGTCTGCCCCCAGCCCCACTCACGGCTCTCGCAGCTCTCTCCGGTCCAGCCGGGCTGGCAGGCGCAGAGCCCCGTGCGGCGGTC